AAAAAAAAAAAAAAAGCAATTCTGGCCTCGCATCATTGCACCAACCACAGGGACCCCGCCCTAACGTGTGTCCGTCCATCGGTCCAGGCCGGAGGCCGGAAGATCACGTGTGGAAACGTTACCGGTGAAAAAAAATAAAATTCAAAACCCAACGTAGAAAGGTACCACGGGACACAGGCTCGGCAAATTCGGCACGCACTATAATTCAGGCTCCGCAAAAACGGCCTCGGAGGTACTGGTGGTTTAATGTATTAATCCGAGGCAATCCAGCAGGGGGCTGTCCCCCGCCCGCTATCCCTAACGCCTCCTTTAGACTCCTACCTCTTCCGAATTATCTCGGCATTATACCATGCTGTCGAGGAGCACTCTCGATGCCTCCTCTCCAGCGGTGGTACCCCTGGCAAACTTTCGGGATGTACAGTGGCCGCAATTACGGTCTATACTGGCTGTATCTGAGAGCAACAACGTCCAGAGGTCATCCCAAATGAGTATGCCCCCAAGGAAGTTCAAACACATGCCGGCGACGAAATGACGAGTAAAACTCCAGTTTCACTTTCGCAGCAAGGGACGATGATAGCCCGCTTGTTCTCTCTCTCTCTCTCTATATATATATATATCGTCACATATATATGTGCGTGTGTTTATACGTAGATAGGTAGACGCGCGCGCGCGCGCACACACACACACACACACACACACACACACACACACACACACACACAGAGGGAGGGTACGGTTCGGAAAAGGTGGTGGTGGTAATAGTCCACCCTGCGCCGCGGGAACAGGAATAGGAGACGATGACGGACAGGTCAAGGAGCAACGAAGGAGGTGAGCGATGTGGGGAGAAGGCGGGGGTAGGGGTGGAGGAATCGCGGGGGATGGGGATTTTTTCCGAGGATGATTTTCCGATTATTGCTGGTGGTTCGGGGAGGGGTTCTGCAACCCTTGGAGGTTCGGCATCCTGCTCGGCAAGCTTTGGACGACCCAGTTCGGGTTCTGAGACCCTAGGAGGCTCCGGTTCGGGGGATGGTTCGGCAGAGCTGCGTGGAGGAAAGCAAGCAGATGGTGGAGGAGGAACGAGATGGCTGGGGAAGGTTAATGGATCCCGGCAACAAGGGACTGTGTGGAGGAGGAAGATGGAGAAAAGGGTAGGTGGTTGTTGGGGAGGAGGGAGAATGGGAGGAGGAGGTAGAGGAGGAGGAGGAGGAGGAGACGGAGCGAGTGAAGAACGTGAAGAAGGGGGAGCAACCGCAGGGTGGAGCACACGGGCGGGCGCTGTCGCCATCGGCGCGCAGCGGCATCGGCAAGGTGAACTGTATTGCCCGGGAGGGGTGGGGAATCTGCAGGGAGAATTCGTTGTGCCGAAGCAAGAAGAGGCGGCGAGGCTCGCAGCCGTTAGGAGGAAAAAGGATTTCGAATGCTTTGAGCGCGTCAATGGCAAGATGGTAAATGTGTAAACAGTCTTTGCCATGCTTATCTTTAATAATAAATAAAAAGATAGATAAATAGGTAAATAAAAATAACTAAATAACTAAATACTAAATAAAGCTGCACGACCACCACGCACCAGTGAACTCCAATCCGAACCCCGTTCTCCACAAAGTCTCACGGACTCAGGCCTCAAAAGGACGACCAACCAGTCAGCAGCGAACCAGTCAGGCAGCAACGTCGTGAAGAAGTAGGGAATCAAGAAAAGCAGTCGGCGCCATATGAAAATGATTAAATTGTATGTCAAATGAAAACGTTCAAGCGGAAAACATTAATGCATATGGATGCAGAATATGCATATATTCGACGAAAGCAGGGGTGATGACCCACTAGCGAAGAGGATTGGATTAAGTGCCTGAATCTGGATGTGTTTTATGTAGAGATGCGGAAATTCAGATCAATCGCGATTTTCTTTCGCTCTCCACGTCCAGATTCAGCCGTCAGATCAAATCCTGTATGTTAGTGGGACCTCGCCCCAGTTGCCACAACCACCCCTGTTTTTCCTCTTTTTTTTTTTTGAGTTTAGAACAAGATTTGTATTCCTTCGACGTGACAGCATCATCGACAGTATATTTATAAATCCTCAAAAACCATAATATAATAGCATTATATTAGCATAAATATTAAGTATTTCATATTAAATTATGTATAATTCATGTTGACGAGTGCCTGAATCTGGATGTGTTTTATGTAGAGATGCGGAAAGGCAGATCAATCGCCATTTTCTTCCCCTCTCCACGTCCAGATTCAGCCGTCACCTGTTTGTTAGTGGGACCTCGCCCCTGCCGCCACAACCACCCCTGTTTTTCCTCTTTTTTCTTTTCGAGTTTAGAACGAGACGAGATTTGTATTCCTTCGACGTGACAGCATCATCGACACTATATTCATAAATCCTCAAAAACCATAGTGCAAGGAAAATGAACAGAAGCAAGATGACAATCTTCAGATTGCACAATCACATTGAAAGCCAGATCGTATCACAGTGTTCAGAAAGTAGCATTGCACCAATATGACACCAATGGAGAATAGTAGCACT